AAGAAAAGTAGCGAAGACAAAAGAATAAAAGAAAATTAACAGTGCAGAAAAAGCTGTTGCCCTCTGTTTCTGTAGCTGTTAATTTCTGTCACATCTGCTTTGAAACCAGAGGGTTGTTACTATTTCCTAGCTGCTAGATTTGAGTGGGATGGGCCTTTCTGAGTCTGACAAATTGTTTTTTCAGCCAGCTTAAGCACAGCATCAGATAAATGTTTCAAAGCGTGTGATTTGCACCAGCACCAAGGAAACAAGTCTAGAATTGTGGAATAATCTCTCCACAGTAAGACAGTAATTTGTGATATGTATTTATTTGAACTAGTGCCAAGCAATTCCCCTTAGTTAACTGTGTCTCAGCAGTTTTCTCCTGATAAAATAATTAATACACAGATTGATGGCTGTTGCCCAGCCATCCTTCAGTCTCATTCTTGGGTTGCATTGTTTATGGCATTGCTTCAAAAGCAATCCTGTAATACCCTTGGCAAATTGATCTCTTTCTCTCCTGACTTAACATTCTCTTTTAGCAAGTTCTCTGTCCTTCACTGTATATGGCAATTACACACCTGCAGAGGAAGGTGCTCCATCACAGAGACCAGGGAGATTCATGTCGGACATGCTGAGAACTGAAACTCCGGTGCTCTGACCAAATAGCCCCAGCATAAAAAAGGGGAGAAGGAACAGGAAGAAACTGGACAGCAAATGCTCATGTTCACACAGACACAATTGTATGGCCAGACTCTCCTCCTCTCACCGTGACAGCAATGAGGGAAGCGAGCGCTGCCAACCTCTGGTCAGGAGAGCAGCTTTAAACCTTTTTTACTGCTGTTATCCTAAGCAGCATGGAAAAAACACTTTGCTTGTGTTGAGCTGACAGAAGCCCCAAAGTGAATCTGCGCTCAGCTCTGAAGGACTTCACAGCTTTCTTCTACAGTTACAAGCATATTGTAGGTGTCCTGTCCCCTGCGTGATGGGACCGTCACCTCAGCTCCGAATGCAGACAGCCACGTTACTGCTGTCATGTGCATACAAGCCTTGGGCAGAGCAGGACATCCAAAACTGTAACCAGTAATCACACTTTAGCTGTCTAGGGAGACAGCTGAGTGGCGATTGAGGCCCCCCTGCCCCACGTCTTTGTGTTACAGTGCAGATGAGTTTTTGCTGTAAGATGTGGTACCTTGCTGTAAGGTGTGGTACCTTGATACCTTTACCAGAAAGCTCACTTTCTGGTTATGCCACTGAGAAATTGTCTTGAGACCAGATTGTACTTATCATCTTCTTTACCTAGAAACCGCATCGTGACACCAAACCCTAGAAAGAGTTAACACATATTTTCTTTTTTTTTTTCGTTGTCATCCACAGGTAATGCAGGTAGTGAAGGAACAGATAATGAGAGCGCTCACTACCAAGCCTAGCTCTCTGGACCAGTTCAAGAGCAAACTTCAGAATCTCAGTTACACAGAAATACTGAAAATCCGTCAGTCTGAAAGAATGAACCAGGAAGATTTCCAGTCTCGTCCGATTCTGTAAGTACTGTCTTCTCTCCTAACCCCTTCTTATATGGAAGTATTAACAAATATGAATGATGTTCGGGAGCTCTTCAGGGAGAACCTGAAGAAAAAGCTGTCCAGAGAGCTGTGCTCAAAAGCAGTAGAGCAGCAACTGCTTGAAGTGCATATGCTTTCTTCTGCGGGGAATCACAGCTCTTTCTCAGAGTTCAGTTAAATCAGATTCAGCAAATCCCTACAGGGCCTTGCATGGCTTGTTTGTACCAAACAATGCTTTGACATTTCCAGGGTTTGTATGACTGTGCGTGTGAGGTTGTTTGTGTCGGTGGTGTTAGTTTTTCTTCTTTCAGATTAAACTTTATCTTCTGTCCGAGGGCCTTTAAAAATTCCAGATGTCACTTCTCTGAGCGAGAGTGAAGCCCAGAGCAAGAGGAGCCAATATACGCTGGCTCCATGAAAGAATAGATTTGTGTGTTACTGTCTTTGTTTATAGTTTATCTATCTTTGATGTTAATAGAAAGCAGTTATTTATTTGTAGATGAAAATATTCTGGCAGCTGTCCAGCGGGATTCTCATTCCTACATTGTTTACTGCAAAGTATCAAATGTTAATACTGCCACCGTAGCTCCTGCCTGCTTCTCAGAATACCTTTTGTTCTATTATATGAAAAGCGGAGGCCGCACTTGGCTCTGGATGGAAGCTGGGCTCGTGGCTGAGCTGGTGGCACAGGACAGGTTCTGACTTTGTACTGCCCAAACGCTCAGAAAAGGAGGAACCTCTTGAGATTAGCAGAAAAATGGGGGCAATTCCAAAGCATCAGTTGAAATGTCAGGAAATGTTGACCATATTTGAAGTGGAAAGGCTCATTATGATTATCCAGACCTCCTTTTTAGGGCAGAACTACAGAAATTCCTATGTAAGATGCTTGATTTGTTTCTAAAGGGTGCAGATATCTGATTACAAGCTCTGGGGACACATTCCTCCAGGGGCAGCAGGGCAACAGGGAGAGCGTAAGCTAAGCAGAATTACACACTTCAAATTGAATCATACCAACTTGGATCAAAGGGAAAATGCTGCTTTTATGTTTTCAGTGTATTAGAAGATAGAACCTAATGCCCAATTAGAACTGGTGTCACTCATAGTAATGCATCAGTTAAAAACCTACAAATAGTTCCAGACATTTTTGCATCACTACACTGCACAGAAATCCCCTGCCAATCCCCTGCAATGTTTAGTGGTTCAAAGCTGCTCTATACTGCTAAGCTTGTCACCAAAGCTTCTCGTTTTCCCTGCTTCCCCTTTGAGTCAACTATTTAACTATGATACAGGTCGACTATTTATATTCACTTGCAGCATTTCCTAACCTCATGAGACTTTTCAGTGCCCTCTGTGACTCTTTAATTCTGGCATCACTCTGGCTAGTTGCTGCCACGGTGTGAAATCTCCTTCCCCATCATGGAATGCAAGAGCCAACTAACACAAACAGTTAAAAGCAGCAGAAAGGTTACGAGCGACTCATTTCAGATTCAGGATAAAGGCTAAGCCTAAAGGCTGTGAAGGCTAAGTCGATAAGGTGTTTAAGCAATCACAACTGTATTTGCAGAGATTTAACTCTATGCATTTGCATTTTGATTGCATCCGTGATCACTTATTCTTGACTGTGAAAAGGAACGGTCCTTTCATTTTCCCCTTTGATTTTGATTCCATGTACTGAACTCACTCAAATTGCATAGATGGCACAATGGATATAAGTACAGAATCAGGGTTGCATTGTGGGGAGGGAGACTGTGAGTGGAGAGGGGAATCATTGCTGTGCTGTATATTTAAAAGCCTTACAGATATGCTAAAAGAGATGGTGCACAACTGAATTTAAAGTCAGGGAGCCTTGTTTAATTCTGCATCAGAATATGGCAATCAGATGATGGTTATCCATTGATTCAGAATGATAGGAGCCTTTCTTCTGCTGGTCTTTTATAAAGTACTGAAGTTTTAAGTTTTCAATGTGCTGGATGAGAGAAGTTTCCGTCAAGTTTGATTTGGATGTGAGTTGGAAAGTTCTGCCTAGATCCACTTAATTACAACAGCCTTGTTTTGCAAGGAGTAACTGGTTTTTTTTGTATGAATATTGTTGCATCACCTGAGCTGAAGTGTTTCAGTTTCTACTTTGAATTAGGGAAAATAAAAAGTCCTCTAGAACAGAATCTACTCAAGAGCTTGGGATGATTTTTGATTATCCTAATTGCCAGTCCACAACAAAAAAAACAAATATCACTAGTCCATTTTGACTGTGGAAGAAGGTATCTGGGAATCCCGTTGGCCCGTAGAGGACCAGAGGTCTCCTTGAGACATTAAATGGCAGTAGATGGCTTAATACTGGACAGAGCTCTGATGTCCACATGGACGCTTGGTGATTCAAGGAGAGATCATGTCAGTTTGGGAGCAGCTGCTAAGTGATATTTAGGTGAAAATCAGTAGCATACAGGGAAATAGAGGGAGAGATGTAGATGCTTTTTGGAGCGTTCTGTATCTTTTAAGATTCTTCTGCAATGTTGGAAAGAGTCATTAATGCCTGAGCTGAAAGCATGAAGTGATTTGGAGCAAGCCTAAAAGATAGAAGGACAAAACACATGAAGTTGTTTTGGTATTACTTTTCTATTGTGTTGTAATGATTTAAATGCCTATAATATGCCCTGTTGTGGAAGGAAAGTGTCTGACAAGAAGGAACTGAAACTGTAAGTTAAAAGTTATGGACAGATTTAACTGGTGCAGAAAAGAGCTAGTATTCTTCCAATAATTCAAAAATTATTTCTAGGAATTTTCAAATTTATAGGCAATCCTGGGCTGTTTTTCAAAAGCAAGTCACTGATGTCAGTATTGCCTATAGCGCTGAGACCAATGAGATCAGAAAATTAATGATGATATATTATTACATAGTTCTCCCAAGCTTTCTGTCATATCAGCTCAGTAACTTTTGTCATTCTCTCATCTCTGAAGGACAGTAGCGTGTTCCACAATAGCCATTTTTAAAGCTACCTTCTCCTTATACTGTCCTAGTTTGTTCTCTCATCCTTTGCAAGCACAAAACGTTCAGCTGATGTCATCTGAAGAGGAATAAATAAAAATTTTACCCAAATAGATTTACATTTATGATTTTCCTTTAGCTCCCTGCTCCTATTTGGTTTTAAAATTAGGCACAGGGACCTATTTCTTTTCAGAGATTGTTCTAACGCTCCTGTCCTTAGACCCTTTGGTTTACCTGTGTGCCTACATCTGATTGTTGTGCCCCTTTTCTTTCACCTTGAAGCGGTGGAAAAGAACAGAAACCTTCTTGACAGTGAGAAGCGTTAAGTGGCAGGATCACCTTGCAAGAATGAATCTGGAGTCATAGTTTTTGAGAAGATTGACGAATAGCTAAAAGAACAAAAAGAACCGTACAAGATAGGGTAGTAATGAGTTGACTTGAGCTACTGAGGCCAGTAAGCACAGGTGACCGTAGCAAGGTGGGGATGGACTTTTGGGTTGAGTGATGTATCTGAACTCAAGTCACTAAAGGCTGACTCTCAGAGGAGTAAGGAAAGCTGTCGGCAAACCCTCTGTGCGCTCGAGTTTGGGGACTGTAAAACAGAAGCGAGTACTGCCTCTGCACTTCGCAGTTGTGAGGGTACATACACGCGCGTGAGAAGGACTCAGGCATATTAGCCAAGAGGCAGAAGGTCTCCCTTCTTTCCTGCTTCCCTTTCTCTGATGGAAGGTCTGTCTTAGACAGTGAGCTACTTTGGAGGGGGTTACTTGTTTATTTTTGGACTGATTAAAAATCCCTATCTACCTCTGGTTTGTAAAGGGCGGATGGGGCTTTAGAAGAGAGAAGAGGGAATACTATGAGTAAGCAATCACTTAATGTGCTGATGTTAATGTGCTGGGTGACTGACCCATTCATTTCTGTCTTTTTAGTGGTGTCTAATATCTGTGAAGCTATGATGTCTTTAATACCTCTTTAATGATACTCATCCAGTTTCTGAATTAAACTGCCTACGTATCAAACTGATGTTTATACCAGTATCAATTATTTGAAATCAGTCCAGCTGGAGCTACAGTCGGTGGCCTTGTGAGCTCAGTAATCCATACTGTGTTTTAACCCTGCTTTCTCTTGAGGTTCTTCTGCACCTGCTCCCAGCACTTACCTGAGGAATGGAGAAACTCATCAGCTCAGAAAGACGTTTGTTCAAGCACAAAATTATTTTAATCATAGTATTTAACTATTTAGCATATTAATACCTTAGTTCCTGTGAGAAAACAATAGTGTTTGATCGTAAAGGATTAATAATACATTTCCTAAAGGTGGCCTGTTTCTATAGTTACAATACTTGAATTTTGACCAGCTAGATCTTTACAGCTTGCAAATATGCAGTGGGTTATGCATCAAGAATGCCAACCATTTTGTTAATGCCTAGGAGAATGATGGCATTTCTATTTAAAGGCTTGATCTCTCTAACAGAGAACTTGCAGTGATTTCAATGGGATTTTGCATATCAAAGGTATAGGACCCAAATAAACGTGAAAATCTGCTGAACTTCCTAACTTTTCAAGAAGAGAAACGTTTTTATTTTATCTAGGGAATACCATGGGTTTGCTTTCTTTTGATGAAGAATGCTGGAACATACTACGAAACAGAATGATTTTTGGTATTGCCTAATTCACACGGCAATCCAAAATTGTGGTTCTGATGCACTTCATATTTTATAAACCCTCTACACATTCCGTTACTTTTTAATTTTACTAGGCTTGCTGTCAAGTTGATGTTTAAACCTGTCTTTTATGTATGCTTAATGAACCTAAGTGAGGTTATAACTGATGAATTCAGACACCTGTGAATCCATGTGACAGTGTATGAAATCAACTTTAAATATTATGTGCATACATTTTCTGCCTGGTTCTTAACACATTGAACCCATTTATCAAAGCAGGCTGTAGGAAATGGATTTTCTTAAGGATATGTAATTATATTTCTCAAGGCACCGTGAGGTTCTGTGCTCCTGCGCAAGGGTAAAACTTGATTCTTGAGCAATCCCCAGTCATGGGTAACTCTTCAACAAAATTCCTATAGTAATGAATTAATCAAATAGTATGGAAGAGCAAGGATACAGCACTGATTGTTGTTTTGGCTTATTGCCATTGCGCGCTCTTTTTTCTTGTTTCAAAATGTGTTTTCTTCTTCTTGTGTTGTCCTACATAATAATGCTAAGAAAGTGCACCAGCAGAGGATCATGCCATGAAAGGTGACAGACCCTCCAAGAGGCTTCATAGTGCTCCTACAATGAAAGAGCATTCTTTGCCTCAGAAAACATTGTTGATGAATTACAGCATTATTTTTAGATGGGTAAATGAGAAACAAGTAAGCGACTTGCTTGAGTCATACACTGATGCATTAGCAGGGAGATGTCTCAGACAGAAATATCCTGACTCCACTGCTTTGTTATCGAAAAAGGTCTTTGCCTGGAGCAGGTTCTGACCCGGGCCTGCCTGTGACCGTTGTCCCCTTTGAACTCCTTGCAGAAACATCTCGTGGGACTCTGTCCCAGAGGAAAGAGAGTGGTCCTTGCTGAACCTCATGAGAGCTTTTCTTTCTTCCTAAGGGAACTAAAAGAGAAGATTCAGCCTGAGATTTTAGAGCTGATCAAGCAGCAACGTCTGAATCGGCTCGTGGAGGGGACCTGCTTTAGGAAACTCAACAGTCGGCGGCGGCAAGGTACAGCTCTGGCTTCTAATGTCATTTTTGTCTAAAAGTTGAGATGGTGAGCACTACTGTTACTGGCAAGATCCTAGGGTTTAGTGCTTTCTAGACTGCTTTTTTCCAGGGAGCACCTGAAAGAATCTCCTAGATAAGTTCTTTTAGGCTTTCTTGTGTTTCACTGGAACTGGTTCTGGCTTTGTCATGCAGATCTGAAATTAGTCCAGCATTTGATGAAAATCTCAAGCAGCAGTCTTGCAGGCTGAACTGAGTGCTTTGATTTCCGCCTGATGTCCAGGCATCTTGCTAATTTCAAAACAAAATCTCCTAAACCTCTGCAGGTGCAGCATGTGAAACGTGGTGTAGTCGGAAACTGAATGTTTCAGATCAGGAAAACCTTTTTTTTCTTTTCCGACTGGATTGTTTTAAATTATACTACTAGTGAATTAGATAGCAGAAACCCAAGTTTTATGCATTTGATGAGCTCATTTTGCACCTCTCCCTCTAATACTGCCTGTCCATATTTTTTTGTCTCTTATTAACATATATATTAAATATGCAATGGTGTTTAAATTTACTTATAAAAATTCCTTAGATCAGTAATTTGTGTACTTTAGGATGAATACTTGATTGACATGGGAAGACTGGTTTCCCAACCCTATGAGTCTTTGCTTGCTAGTAGATTTTCAGCTTCTTTTTTTACAGCCAAACTCTCTATGGTTCTTTTTTCCCTTCAGAGAGGCACACTTCTTTCTCAGGACAAAATAATGGCAACATAATGTAAATGCAGCAGATTACTCAAAAGTTTGATTTTTTTTCCCTCTAAAACTCCCATTTTGTGGAAATTTAGATCATCTTTTTTTTTTTCCTCTGCAAATGCAGCACAAATTAGAAGGGCACAAAGGCTAAGGCTAAGTACTGCCAAAGATCAGAATTTGAAACCTTCAGATCAATTGTGGAAAACTGCTTTCTTCACAGAAAGAAGAATGCCTACAGTGCCTTTTTCCTAACAAACAAGCAGGCTATTTTGTTTCATGTAGGGAAGTTGTTTTGGAAAGTTCCAAGCTTTTATATAAGGGTTAAGTCAGAGAAAAAAATGATCCAGCTTTACCTCATCTCTGTCAAGCCTGCAAACCCCTATGGAGGCCACTGCAAGCTTTAGAGAAAATTACACTCTGACTTCTTATACAAATTTCATAAAGATGTGTGATAAGTGTTTTCCCTTCAACAACATCTTCACGGAGCGAAAGGAGCTAAAGTAACATGTAGTTTGGTTTGGCAATCAGTAGTGAGGGTTTTTTTTTCCTCCCAAAACCTTAATCTGAATGACTGAAATTCTAGAGAAGGAGCAGGGCTTGTGGCAAACATTCTTGTTTTGGTAGGTCTCCAAAAGGAAGACAGACTGTTTATTTTATTTTAAACTGTTGTCAGTTCATGATTCATAGAATCAAAAACCTTACAGGATATAAATTAGTTCCACTCATATGTGTGGAGTTGAAGTAACGGAAATATCAATGTAATCTTCTGGTCCACAGTTAAGAAGGTTGCTATATCATGCCTTGGAGTGAACTGTATAGGACACCAGATTAATTGCTTTGATGTCATATTTATATAGGACCGAAAGAGTTCATGATACTTTGGAAAAAAATAAAATGTGTGGCCATGCCTCAAAGAACTTGCTTCTTATCTCTGAAGTGTATTATATTTGTCAAATACATGCCCATCTTGTCCAAAGAAGTTGCCTCATGGCTGATGTTAGACTGCCCATATTCCCTGAGGCAAAAGGGTAATGTCTCCCCGTGAGAGGGAGAAGATACAACACCATTACAGATGATGATGATGCCAACAGGACTAAACTCACCAAGGTCTAATACTGTGCGATCTAATAAACATGTAAAGGATGATAAACACAAGCGTATTTGGCTCAGAAGCCTTTTAGTAGGGGACAGTCCTTTTTTAGGTGGAAGGAGCGCTCTTGGAATGGGCCTGTCCCCCTCGCCGTCTCCTGGGCACCAAGTGGAGCACACTACAACGTCAGGGCTGTCGTGATGGCAAGACCCGTGAGACTAAGGGAAATGAACAGAGGGGCCAGATGTTTAGCAGGTGCTGCTAAACATCAGGGCAGTCCAGCTTTTAGATGATTCCCCCGAGTGTCCTGATAAAAATGGTTCAGTTCCTGAGTAAGGCTTCTGTTAGTCTTAACTGACCTCCCCTCCTCCATTCCCCTGACCCACCTCCCAGGACTTTTTGCCCAGGGGCTTAGGAGGAGCCCCATCACCTACCCGCTGCTCTGGCTGAATTGACTTGCCAGGTGGCATCATCAAGGCTCTCAAAGGGCTGAGGTCCGTCCAGATTAATTTGGAGCCAAAAAAGAAATGGGGAGTGCTGTAAGACATCGCAATTTGCCTGTTATCTGGCAACCTACTTACAAGAGTGGTAAGATCAGGTAGCTGTTTTACTTCAGTATGCATACAGCTTGATTTATCTTCCTCATGATTCTTTTTTTCCCTTGAGACAATCCTGGGGCAAAGGTTGCAGATCTACAGATTATGCAAAGAGGAATCTGAACATGGCCTACACGGGAGAAGGTGAAACCATTAAATTGTCTATGTAAAAAATAATTAATTGGCATTATCCCATGATAAAGACTCCAGAGCAAACTTCCATTAAGACTGTTGTTTGAACATGTGGTAGGACACACATGGTTAGTCGCATTAAGTTGAAACAATTGACTTACAAAAAAATGAGCAGAGAGCTTACAGCCCTTATTACAGCCATATGAGAAGATGTGAAACTCTTTCATATTTATTTGGCATTGGAAAGCCTCTGAACCAAACCAGGTGATTCACTGAGGGGGGCTGAAGACTGAGATGTGAGGTATCTGTAGTCTGATCTCTGCCTTTTGTATTTCAGCACAAGGTTATCATATCAGCATGATCTCTCTGTAGCCGAAATTCAGAAATACCATTATTGTGCCAGCAGGTTCTTGGCACTTCCAAATAACACAAGGGCTTTTCCTTGCTACGTTTCACAGAACAGCTCCAGCACTAACTCCTGTTTTTATAAGACATCCTTAAGCAATTGAAAATGAAACAGCAAAATCCACCCTGCCCTTCTAGTCATTGTTCAACACAGATCATAAAGCTCTGAAAATCCCTGCTTTGTTCTTTAACTGTGAAAAGTCAGCTGACAGATAGCCCTCTTCAGTTTTCTCCTTCCTTAGTTAAGTCCTAAAAGAAAGGGACGAAGACCAAGCAAAGCCTACAAAGCACTTTACAACCCCAAAAGCTATTATTTCCAGTACAGCTAAGTAAAAGGTAAGAGTTTTATTGAGGATGCTTCTCTAGTTGACATCTAGTACACCTGTAGTTTATATTGCTGGATGCACTCTTGGAAATAATTTCCCCTTTTAGCTTTATAAAGGTTATAGAGAAATTGCATGTTATTGAAGTGGTTTTGCAACTGAAGACAAGGTTTCTTAAATAGTCATTTTTGGAAGGGGGAAAAAGCCTGGTGAGACACATCATTAAATTAAAAACACAAGGACAGCATATTTTTTTTAAGTAACCTGGAAAGAGTAACCTTAATTAAGACAAAGAAACAAACAAACCCAGTTTTCTGCCTCTTGCAAGGATGAGAAGTGACTCATGCTGTCAAATGAGAACACACACTTTCTTTTCTCTGCCAAGTTCTCTTTATTGCTGCTCATCTTTTCCACCTTACATAGCTGTATAAAAGGAAAGATTCTGTGATATGTGAATTGCCGAGAGGAACTGGTTAACCAAGCCTGCCTAACCCCTCTAGCATTGCCACAAGTCAGTTAATCACAAATAATTTGCAGGGCTTGCTGGCTTTCTGTAAGCATTTGAGACCAGATAGAGTGAAAATGTGTCACTCTGATGGGTATCTTAGAGAAACACAACACAGTGAAAGAAAAAGGGTGAGTCCACGCACATATATCTAAAATCTAAACAAGTCTATGTGTTTTCACAGATGTATTTAAATGCATGCATTCCTGTCACTAAATCCTTGAGCAACATTTTCTTCAAACAAGTAAACTTCACTTTTTTAGTAGTGTGGACTGTATCTCGGGATAAAATATATACTTTGAGCCTTCTGTCAGTGAATATCTGAGCTATTTTCTTTCCAGATTGTAGCTACCGAGCACTTCTGTAGCAATTGCAGCAATTCTTTGCATGGGGATAGCATTGTTAAGGGCATATGAGTCATTGGCCATTAATGCGCTTGGAAACACCATATGAATAGCCAGCACTCTGTAGCCCATTGGCAAAATGTTCTATGCTCTACCATTTGGTCGCAGTTTAAGTATCACTCTTCCAGGCAAATTATAGCTGGTTTTGTTGTTTGGGATTTTTTTAACCTCTTCCATAACCTTTAACAGGGTGCTACAGCATATTTAACCCACTGGCTGCCCTAGCAATTGTTTGAAAAGCTAAACAATTTGTGTGAAACCTTTTCAGGTTACAGATCAGAATGATTAATTCAGTTGCTCAAGGAAGATTCCCTAGCACCTTAATCTAATTGCATCTGTTGTCAGTGAGCAGCATGAAAGACATACGGACTGACTAGTCGGACAGTTTAAATAGTGTAGCACTGGAAAATTGCAATGAAATCACAGACCAACACTGTCTCTGAACACTCAGTGCTTAGAGGATGCCCTTCCTACGGCTGCCTGCTTTGAGAAGGAGTTCTACAGAGGCAAGGGTAATAACATCTGATACAAAATAAGCCATCAAAAAAGGACTTAGCCTTTGGGACAACTTCGTAAGGCTGGGCCTAAGTCTGACACCGATCTTGAAAAAGCAAAAAAGCTATTTTTTGAACTGACAGTTCCCCCAACTTCATCTGTACACATACACATAGATCTACCAACTGCGGAGCAGAGGGTCTATGGGGAAATGCCTGTCCCATCTTTAAAGCCGGTTGTGGCAGTTCAACTCTGTGACCTTATGTCTGAGAGCTCTGGAGTTTATAGACCGTATTCTGTCTTTGTTTTTTAAAACAACTTTCTAATCACAGTAGAAAAGAGCACAAGTTTATCTTTTTCTCTGTTTCTTTTTTTTATTATTATTTATTCAAGTATTTAGGGCTGGAAGGGGCCACTTTCCACTTGCTGTAATCATATTTTCTTCACCCTTTTTAATTGAAGGAAGCAATTTCATATAATTCCTATTTTAACTGCAGCATTACTTTATGCACTGTATTTCAAATAAAGTTGTGTTCAACACCTGCAGTACAGTAAAATAACATGCATCCCCCTTAAAAACTATCCCCCCCGCCCCAAGCACTGTGATCTCACGTAAACAGGATAGTGTCTAATAAACTCTTTGTAACATCATGTACAGCTAAAAAATCCCCAACTGGCTGTGGCTGTAGAGGCTCCCAAAAGGAAGCAACATTTACTTTTCAATGCTAATGTACCGATTGCCCTTCTTTCAGCCTGGTTAGGGCAGTGGTCTAGCAGTGGTCTAGCAGCTGCAGCTGACAGGATCTCCTTAGTTCCATTCGTAGGCTTCATTTAAGGATTTTTTCCCCTAACAGCCAAGTTTTGGTGCGATGGTAGTTATTAGTGAGCCCACAGGAGAACTGCACTGGACATGCTTCAAGCTACGATCTGTGGCTGTTAGTTCTTTAATTAACCTTGGGCTATGGGGAATTGCTGTAAAAGGCTCTATAAGCCTGCAGAGCTAGGGTTTCTTTCTATAAAACCACCACTTCCTAAAAACAAAGTAAAGAAATGTTCACAGATTTTTTTTTCCTCTCACTTTTGGAGCAGAGGGTTGAAACAGGAGCAAGGCGTTTTAAAACACCTTAGTCCTTAGGAGGCTAAAGAACCAATCTTTTTCAAACCCTTACCAGCAACCCTAGTCCTGTTTGTGCCAAGTTGACAGGAACTCGTGATAATTTTCATCAGTGACATCATCTTCTTGGCCAGCTTATTGAGAAGACAGTAAAACTACGTTGGCTCTTGTTAGGAAAAAAGAATTTTCTTAATCTTAGAGTTGGAAAGCTATATTCCTTTGTACACTCTGAAATCAAACACTCATAAATAATGAGGTTACAATTAAACATTCTCATAAGAAATGAAGTTGCAAGTAAAGCTAGACAAAGAGACTCCTGCTGCGTTTAGCAGCAGCTTTTCTTCCGGTAAGCAAGGGGCAGATCCATCCACTGCCAGATTCAGTGGGGTACATCTTTTTAAACCTCAGGTTTTGAAATGCTTCTGGTAGAGTTGCTTGTAAAAGGTCCAAATCTACTAAAGTTTGACAGGTATCCTTTTGAGACGCTCAGACTGCCCAACAAGTTCAATTTATGTGCGTGTATGTCTTTCAGATGAGACGCTATTGAATGAGAGGTCCTGCTTGCTCTAGTTTTAAATCCCTACAATAGTTTAGTAAGAGAGGTTTTCCTCTCAACTCCGTGCTGGTGCTATATTATACATACTGTGTACAGTCCTGGGAAGCTTACATTTCTGTAGCTCTTTTTCTGTGTATCATGAAATCATAATCTCAGGCTCATCAGCATAAATTCTTCACTGTTGTTTATGCCTGTGAGATACCAGAATCTTCCTCCTCTCTATCTTAACCCTTTGCCAGTGGTTTGTAAGGAGCTGTGAAACCTTTCTGTAGAAACACCTACATAAACAGAAGGTGGTTTGAAATGTTTCTTTTTTCCCCATTTTTGCCTACCACGAAAAGAGTACCTAAAAGGGCATATGGAAGCCAAGAGAAACCTCAGAGTTGAATTGCCTTCCTCTGTGTCTTATTGCATTGCATTTTACACAGTTGGCCACAGGATTTTAGAGAGTCCTTTAAGAAGAAGTTGAGTCCATGAAAACAATGTTTCACTAGTGGAGCCAAGAAGTCCTTCCTTTGCTGACAGCCCTGGATGAACGCACAGGGTCTGACTCTGGTGGTTCTGTGGTTCCTCCAACATTTTATGCATTTGCTCCTGGCTGTTGCAACACTGTGGGACTCTGTCCATGCTACCATTTCACCTAAAATTGTCCCCGGGGCTGCTGCTTGGTACAGCATCACTGCTGCCAGCAAGGAGAGAGGCACAGGGGGAGAGAAGTCACCTGCCCCTCCACAAGCATTTTAACGTCTAGCCCAGCTCCGAGCTTTTGGAGGTTCATAGCTTGGCTGTAGCAACATTGTATTTTTGACAGCTTAACGTTGTTATGTGAGCTATTTATTAAATAAAAGGTACTCTGAGAAGGAAGGGTAGCATCATTCTTGCCGTTTTGGAAACGGAGTTGGCAAGCACCGCCCTTGCACGGCAGGCAGCGTGGTAGCCTTGCTCTACAAAGTCGATGTTTTTAGTGGGAGCAGATTTTAACAAATATCATTAAGGGGAATTGTATCCTGAGAAGCTGGAGTTGGCAAGAGATGTAAATGTACATCTCCTAGGAAGGGCTGAAATGAACGTAGGAGCATAGTATGGGTATATTTGTGGACGCATCAACCACCGAGTTCTCTACAGAACAAGAGAGTTAATTTTTTTTTTTTTAATCCTTATGTGTTTGGGATGTCCAGTCCTACCATGAATAGGGGGATGTTTTGTCATGTCTACAAAAAGACATGAGTCACAATTTTCATAAGGTATAGGACATCTCAAATGTCTCAGTTTTTGGAAGTCCCACACAAGACAGCTGGCAGGGCTCAATGTTCATGTAGTGGGTACTAAAAATGAAGCTTTTAGGGGGAAAACTAAATTTAGCCACTCAAAACAGTAGTTACTTAGCCAGTCCCCTGTCCATGAGGGTATATAATAACATCATATAAAGCTAAGTCAGTTGTTTCTTGGTTAATGTTTATTTTTGGAACCAGTGGCTGAATCGAGACGGGAATGATAGACTGATACCAGTTTCAAAGACACTTCCTTTAATCAAGTAAAATTACTATGCCAAGTCCTTGCCTCGCTTCCAATACACTACACACATTTCTTCTAAAAACAAAACAGTCCTGCCTTGTAGTGCCTCATTTGAGTATATTTTCTCTTATATTATTGATAATGCTGATGAAGACAAGATAGTGACAAGTGTGTTTCTTTTAACAGACAAATTTTGGTATTGCCGACTCTCGCCTAATCATAAGGTCTTGCACTACGGAGATTTGGAAGAAAGTCCCCAGGGAGAAGTCCCCCATGATTCCTTGCAAGATAAATGTGAGTCATATACATGGAATGTGCTGCCTTTGCTACTTTTAAGTTCCTCTTCAAAAATTCTACTGGGTTTCTTTTAACACAGAACGCTATCAATTGCTCTGTTTATGGGGTAATTAACAGGGGACATTGCCTTACGCATTCAGACAGTGCTCTCCTGGTTTGGGCAAGTGTGTGTGAGGACTGAGTTCAGCTTTCCAATGAGCCCATAATTTCTTTGAGCTTGGAAATGTCATGCATTGCATGGGGAGAAACAGTTTATTTTTACTGTTCATCTAACTGCAGATGTCAAATAAAAATACTTTGGCATATTCAGAAGCACTTCCTGTCAATAGAGACAGCTGTTTCTGCAGTTGCAAACAATCTAGTGTCTAGAGGAGAAACCCATGGCAGATGGAGTTCTTTTTGATTGTCACAGGGAGTGGACTTAAAAATGATACATTGCTCTGAAGAGCAACGATAGGACCTCACAGTTACTGTGTGCCCAACTGAGAGGGTACATGACTTTATGACAGCTCTTACCAGGGGAGTTACTGGGATAGCTTTTAGAGGGACCAAAGTCATTGTGGAGCCCACTTGGAGCCCTTTAGAAAATCATACTTAGTTCTTCAACATGAGTTATAGAGGCTTAACCTGCAATTCTGGGAGTCTTTTGTGATGGCTCAGATAATGACCAGTGCGGTTTTATCTCCAGAAAATGGGACTGAAAAATCAAGCATTGAATGAGGAATTATTTCTTTTTGTTCTTTTCTGAACCTCCATTAGTAATAAATGTCATTCTTGGCATTATCAAATGAGACAAAGGCTTGTACAAGCATTCAAGCTGGTAGTTCTTCTTCTTTTGTGAAATGATAGAATAAATGCAGACTTCAGAAGTTTCTCCAGCCTGAAAACTGAGAAAAGAGGAGATCAGTGATTTGAACTTTTGTATACGTTAATAGCAAAAGAAGTATTTCTCCTTCCTCCTCCCCCTACCCATCTCCAAGCAGCACCTTTTAAATTTTCCAAGTGCTCCCAGGTGTGGGCTGGGGAAGGGAGGAAGAAGAGCCTGTCTGATGCTTGAGCCCTGGCTGGTCACAGTCACGTTCAGTTATTTTCGTTGCCTTACACATTGCCTTAAGGATGTTTCAGGCTTTTACTGCAGTCATGGCAAAATCTGGGACAGATGACCTTATTTCTTCATTGGCACTGAAAGAGGCTATTTGTCTGGACAAGAGCTGGAGAAACAGCCCTCGAATGTTACAGTAGCTTCAGAATGACAGAAAAGTGATGAATATCACACTTGAGCTGCAGGGGCAGTTCCTAGCCCGGCAGTTCCCAGACTTGTTTGCTTTGAGCACGCTTCCATACTCATAAGCCCAGCTCCACTGCGAGCTTCATTTTGCTTTTGAATTTCCTTTAGGCTCCTGAGCGTATCTGTGAATGTCATGATCCCATTGGGACAGTAGCTGCTACTTTAGGAGCTGCTGGGTCAGACCCACATGTTCCCTGTGCATGCCTGCTGACAGACCGAAGTGGATACTGATGCAGTTCAAGGAAGATGTGGTTATTTTTTAAATACCTCAGACTTCTGAGGCTGTTAAGGATATAAGAGCTACCATAGTGCCCACCACATTAAAGTTTAATTAAACAAAGTTGAGAATATTGAAAGAGATATGAATATAGAATTATAAAGTGGCATTATTGCTCTAAACGTATCAGGCCAAACTGTCTTGGGAATTTTACAGAACATATTCCAGTGATGATCTGGTATTTTTTGGATAGACTTGTATTGAATTTTGAACTACAAAGATCTGAATATAATGACACTTTCACCCATGTACAAAATACGGTGGTCTCCACTTTTGGGAGAGGACATATCTTTAGACCTTCTCACTCTTCTGGTCATCCA